GTCGCTCGAGCGAGTATAGTGTCGCTCAAGCGAAATACAACCCGAGAAAGTGCTTTCTACTCTGATTTAAAATAATTCTGATCGGTCATAAACTCATTCTGATCGATCATCCAGTTTTGATCGATCATAAAATCATTCTGATCGGTCATCTGATATACCATTTTACTTTCTACATCGGTTCGCCCATGAACCGATGTGGAAAGTCTTAAAAAAAAATAATAATAAAAATTTTAGACAGTAAGCCCTAGACTCCACTCTTGCCCTTACAGACTCGACTCCCTCTGGAATTCTTCCCTTGCTCCTAGCCATTACCAAATTCATTCTCGCAGTAGCGAAAACCACCGTCTCCTTGCCCCTATCGCAGTAGCGAAAACCACCTGTCTCTCCCATCTTCTTCCCCCAATCGAATCCCTAACCTCCGTTTCCCCAATCGAATCCCCAAGCGAAAACCACCCTTGCCGTGCACCAAGAAGCTGCGACGCGCACCGAGGAACTGCGACGCGCACCAAGAACTGCGACGCGCCACCCTCGTCTTCACCTCTCGAAACCCTCTAGGAGCTCCTCCTCATTGCACCTGCGCACCTTCGATCTCGTCGCGAACCAGAGGTGATTCGGACCAGGTACGTGGGTCTATCCTATTGGCTTCTCATCCTTGTTTTGTCAATTACCTTTATGCATTTTCCTTGATTCTGGATTGTTTTGTTTGGTCGTGGACTGATTATGCCTGGGTTTAATGTATGTAGACATGTTTATTCTGGGTTTTGTATTATTATTTCCGTTTAGTTTGACTTGAATATGTGATTTTCACTTGGTTATTCTCGTGGGGTTGAGAGGTGTTATCCAAGCCCTGTTGGGTTGGTTGATGTCGCTCTAGTCCGAGTCTCTTAGCGGAAGAGTTAAGGCTATGGGTTTCCACGTCTGGGGTGTAGGGCTTTGGGGTATTGATTATATTTGGTTCTCTTGTTTTTCATTTGGGTTTGTTTCTTATGTTGTTGATTTAGGTTTGTTCTTTGTGTTGTTTGTTTTGTTCCTGGAGTTTTACTGTTGTTCCAGTACTATTTCAGTTTGGATTATAGTTTGAGTTGTTTAAGTTTGTTGCCTCTGAATAGAGGTAATTCCATTTTCACACTAAGCAAAGACGTCATGTACCTATAGATATGGATCGGAGTTGGATAAATGCCAAACGTATAGAAGAAGAATATGAATTAGGGGTTGAAGAGTTCTTAGAGTTTGCACAGAGAAATGTGGGTAACAATAGAGGTCTCTTTTATTGTCCTTGTGTGAAGTGCTTAAATTTAAGACAACTAAGTGTGAAGGATATAAGAGAGCATCTCCTTTGTGATGGATTTTGCAAGAGTTACACTAAGTGGATTTGGCATGGGGAAGTAGTAGATTTCCCAATGGCTTCAGAGACAACTGAAATCCAGAAAGAAACCAATGATCGACTAGAGGATTTGATACGTGATATACGTGATATCGGTGGCATATGGTACTGTGCATACATTGGGGCCACTTATACACGGGGTAGAAATGACGAATTCCTTTCTTCGTGTTGCGGTTGAACGGGTGGAAGTTTCTGAAGCTCCTGTTCCTGTTCCATCCGACGAGGTTAGAACAGTGGGGGAGGCTCCCGGTCATTTCATTCGATGGCCTAGAGCACTTATCCAGTTTCCTACCGATCGGGTATTATATGTTTTCTTTAATAATTTGATACATGTTTATAATTTTATTATTTTATCATAAATTTTAATTTAATTCCTTGATGTGTATAGGACATTTGTGCCCGACAGAAAGGAAAGGAGAAGGGGAAGGAGAAAGAGAAAGAGAAAGTTCAAGAGGAACTGGACTTAGATCCGATACAAAGGTTATGCCTCTTAGCTTATAGGCTAGGAAAGCATATACCTTTACAGATCCATATGGACCCTCATGTGATTGGGAATCCGCAGCCCATCACGTTGTACTTGAGTCGAAGGACATTATGGATGTTGTTTTGAGTCAAGACATGATTTGCATCACAATTCTCCAAGTCCGGTTAATGTAAGTCTTATGTTTTTATTTAAGTCAATTGGTTGTATGCCCTATTAGACACCAACTTGTCTAAAATGCAATTAACATGATATTTTCAATTTCTAGTTACCTCAACAAAGTCATTGCGGAAAAGGGAGTAGAAGATGTCTATGGATTCATTGATCCTGTCCACATTCGAGTTTGGGGAACAAACCAAATACTATTCAAGCATACATTCAAAAGAGATTTTGTGAAGGATCAAAGGAAGTTTATCTCGCACCATATCATTATGGGTAAGTTTTTTTAAATTACTTACTTTCAAACTTTGAATCTCTTAAGAATTGCTAATTGAGCGACATTTTTTGTAGGTCTCACTCGGCAACTGTTTATCCTTTGTCCTAAACGTAATGAGACTATTTTTTTATGCTCTTTATGGAATAAACCCAAAAAGGAAATTAAACAGATTATTGATGTGTAAGTATACTAACACCCTTATATATGAATCTGTCTTTGTGACTAATTAAATACTCTAGGTCTGGTTCATGACAGATTAAATAACTGTAAAGATCTGTGCTTCACTCCTTTGAGCTAAATAGTATCCAGATTTTACTTTTTATATTCATAAGTAAGTACTTCATAATAATTGTGCTTCATTCCCAAATCCCGATCCGGACAACATTCAATTGTTTAAGATAAGTATACTAACACCCTTGTATAATATTTCATTCATTTCATTTTAAGTTCCACATGTCTTAATATGAAGTATTTTCCATTTAATCTTTTATAGGTGTATAGAAGCATACTCAGTCATGGAGGGTAAGCCTAAAAAGAAACCCACATGGATACTTCCACGTGTAAGGACATTATCTTTCAAATTCTTAACTTTAATTTACTCATTTTCTGTATTTAATGTTTTTTTTTCTTATAGTGTAATAAGCAAAAAGGAAGTTGGGAGTGCGAATATTATGTGATGAGACATATGTTAACAATCATCACAAGCAAATATCACAGATTCATGGAATTTGGTATGTGTTATGACTATATCTATGTCATTGACATATATTTGCCTACTTCTGCTTATCTGAAATAATTTTTTTTTTTTTGTAGATATTCGATGATGGTCATCCAATAAGTGAAGCAGAGATTGATGACATTAGACGAATTTGGGCAGATTTTGTTATTAAGAACTATAGTCGTGATTGAATTTAATTGTGAAACATTAGGACTGCTAGTTTCTTTGTATATATAAACTTAGAATACAATACATGTTTATTGTTTGTTGATACAATACAATGTAGATATATAATATACATTATGTTTACTTGTGTGTTAATGCATGTCCTCTATATATAGATTAACATTCTGAGTAGCTGTAAATATTTAAAATGCTGTACAGGTTCTGAAAAATCAAAAACTAAAATTCGTATTTAAAAAAAAAATATGACTTTCCACATCGGTTATGGCCATAACCGATGTAGAAAGTGATTTTTAATACTTTCCACATCGGTTCTAGGCCATAACCGATGTTAAAACTCACAAACTTTCTACATCGGTTGTATCTACATCGGTTCTAGAACCGATGTAGAAAGCTGCTAAGAACCGATGTTAAAGGTGTTTTCTGTACTAGTGAAAATATTATATTTGTTGCTTTCAACAAAAAACGACATTAAAAATCCATGTAAAAGAAAAGTAAAGATGGAGTTTATAATTATTATTTTTGTGGTGTAAGTAATGATAATAAACACAGGTAAGTATTTTTTTTTTCATAACTAGTTCATCGTAATCACCATTGTTTTAGTCATATTTTTTTAAAATTAAATACACTTCTATATTTGTATATTTCAAAAGATTTACATGTTTAATTACGTAAATATCATCTAAATTTTTACTAATTAATTGGTTGGAGAGATATAGTTTGAGATAAAAACTTGTAGTAACTGGTTTTATCGACTTGAATTAAATATTTTTTTATTTTTGATATAATTAATAATTCAAAAGCAACATGAGTCGAGGGTACATAGTTATTTTCGATATTTAAGTCCTCACGACATTCTTAAAAAATTGTAAAATCCTGATAATGAATATTAAAATTGTAGTTAAAAATTATATAATTTTCCTCTGAAACCATGCACTGAAAGTAGTGTTTGACTGGAGAGCATCAGATATTTTTTATTTGATTTTTTCCTCTCTGTATTCTCTACTATCAGCTGAATCTCCTATTTTATTTGTAAAATGCTGAATTTATTTTTCCAATGCCATAAAATATGGTAGATCCCATTAATCTACGTTTTCAATGCATGATTGAAGCAAGAGAAATTGGCGGGAAAAATATATCCACAGACATTATAAGCAACCCACGTATTTATACAGCTAAAATGTCTAAATTACTAATAATTTGTGTTACTATATATAATAAAAATATATTTATATGGTTTCCCTTTTAGTATATTTAATGTTTTGTGTTATAAACCTTATACTACTCTTATTTCTATAACTAAACCTAAACATGTATCTAAATCACGAACCAGCGAACAATACTTCTCAAGTTATCTTAGTAATAAGCATGGTTCCTCAAGGTTAAAAGCAAACACACATCTTTTCCTTTTACCATGCATAGAAGGGTAACTTTTCTTTCTTTCTTCCACAGTGAATACAGAAGGAGCAAGTGAGAAACACTATTTATTTTTTGCTGTCAGTAAGTAACAGTATTGTATTGCAATGTCAGTGAAAACAGATTTGGGGACCGCACACACCTGACAACAACATGTCCAAATCTGAGACTCTAGTTTTCACCTTGTTTTCACGCAAACGTCATTTGCCTTGACATGTCAATACGACAAATCCAACCTTCCCCACACTCAAATCGCGCGCAGGCTTCGTGCCCAAGGTCACACTCACACCTCTTCATAAATGGACCTTGGTTTCGTATCATACATGTCTCTCTCCCTCGCTGTCCATAGCTGTAATCACTCTCTGTCAAGAAACCAAATACAATGGCATTGAAGCTTTATGGTCTTCCTATGTCCACAAACACCACTCGTGCCATGATCTGTCTACATGAGAAAGAGGTGGATTTTGAACTCGTTCCAGTCAATGTATTCACTGCCGAGCATAAAGAGCCTCCTTTTCTCTCCAAAAACGTAAGCCCTTCCACTCTAGTGTATGTTTTTCTTTTGTTAAAAATATGTCTCTCAGCCACTAACTTTTCTTGTGTTGCACTTGCAGCCCTTTGGTTTGATTCCAGTACTTGAAGATGGTGAACTCACTCTTTTTGGTGTGCTTTCATTCTTCTTCTTCTTCTTCAGTTGGCATGCTATTTTTCTAATTGTTTTCACTTTGCATGAACCCTTTTTTTCAGAAAACTTACCCGGAATGCAAATTTTATCATGTTTATACATCAAGCGTGCCTTTGTTCAACAAAGTTATCCTATGTAGTCTACACGATCTTTACATGATACATAATTAAATTTTATTAACTCTTTTGACAAATTAAAAAAACCTAATTAGGTGTTATGTGAAAATATGTCAAGAACATGAATCCTTAGCAGTTCAAATCACATGGTGGTTCTGGCTTATATATATCATGGTCTTGACCCACATGATGGCCTAGTAAACTGAAACGGCAAGAATGACGCAAATTGCGTCACATTGTTTTTCTCAATCTTCAAATGAAATCTTTTTGAGGCTTTTGAATGACAGAGTCCAGGGCCATTACGGCATACGTAGCTGAAAAGTTCAAGGAAACAGAACCTGACCTGATAAGGCACAAGGACGCAAAAGAAGGTGCACTGGTGAAGGTGTGGACAGAGGTAGAGTCTCACTACTATGAACCAGCAGTGTCACCTATTATCTACGAGCACTTCGTGGCCCCTTTCCAAGGCAAAGAACCGGATAAGACAGTGATTGACACCAACGTTGAGAAGCTGAAGAAGGTGCTGGATGTGTACGAGGCCAAGCTGAGCAGCAGTAAGTATCTTGCTGGGGAGTTTTATAGCCTTGCTGATCTGAGCCATGTCTCCGAAACTCACTACTTAATGCAGACCCCTTGTGCTTCCTTGATCAATGACCGTCCCCATGTAAAGGCTTGGTGGGAAGATATCTCTTCTAGGTCTGCTTTCAATAAGGTTGTGGGAGGAATGACTTTTGGTCAGAATCAAGAATGAGTGTGTCACTGTTTTCTCTGAAGTTCAATTGTTTACCATTTACTTAGTTTGTTGTAGTAAGTAGTCTTAGTATCATCCATGTCTTGTTATTTCATTTCAAGTAAACCAACCAGTTTTTAGAGTGACTTTAAGAAGAACTATACGAGTTCCTCTTTCTTTATTTGATTAATTTAAAAATTAATAGCTGAATTTGACATTTTTTTTTGTAATAGCTGAATTTTAATTTTAACATGAAGCACTTATCTACAACAGATTATATTAATATAATAAATATTATTAATAGTAATCATTAAATATAGTCATACAAACTATCATCCTCTTTTAACATATACTCTTTCCGCACGACGAATCATAAACGAATTAAAAATTTTACGTATTTTTACATAAACTGTTTTGTATACAGTGCCTGTTTTTCAGATTTTTACAAATGAAGTGTCTAATTTGATTTATTCAGCTGTAAAGGAAGGTATAGAATCCTTAGAAAAGTTAAAGAAATGTGACTAATAAAGTGAACAGTATTTTAATCACATAAAAGGTAATTCATTTAAAGAATATAATTAAATGATTAAAATCTATCACATTTAATTTAAATATGATAAATAAAGTATTTTGATATTCCAATGTTTTTTTTTTCAATACTACTGTGTCCACGTGAATGTTATTTTTTATTAACTGTATTTTCTTCTTTTTTTTAAGCAAAATGAAGAAAGAATAGTTCCATGTACTTATCTGCCTTGTTTGTCTGACCAGAACATCTATTTTGTTTTTTGAAGAAGAAGAAGATAAATAATTTCACGTAATAATAAAGTAATAACTTTGAATTATATTATTCTCACAAAATCCTTTTACAATTATTATATTAATAAACAAAGGTATCTAGTAGTTTTTTTTTCTTATGATTGTTTAAATATCATCTCTGAAAATTTTCTTTGTAAATTTCCTATAATTTACTTGATTTAATTCATTTTTATTTTGAAAATAATATAAATAATTATAAAAAATCTTAACGAAAGTTAAAAAATAAATTTAATAACTTCAATAATAAAAATAAATTATTTAATATTATAATTGGATACAATATTAATATCCATTAAAAAAACAAAAATTATAATAATAATGTATAAAAGAAAATAATTTTTATTAGTTTTAATTTTTTTAATTTTTAAAAATTAAAAAGCAAATACACTTTTAGAAAACTGATTTAACAAATTACTTACCAAAAAATTGTTTGATTTTTTTTGTAAAAAACCAGTAAATAAAGAAGTCCTTAAACATCTCAAAGATTTATCCAACAATCTATTTTAGTATTTTAATAATAATAATAATAATAGTAATAATTAAAATTTTTATGTTTTGTTATAAATCATTATTGGATGTTTATTAATTTAATTAGTTTTTATTATCATTTATATATTTTTAATCTTTATGTTACATTTTATATTTATAAATAGGATATTTTATTTAATGAAATAGAAGAAATCTAATCTTTTCTTCTCTTTCTTTAGGATTTTATTCCATAACACGTTATCAGCACTATGATTATAGCATATTGAATCAAGTAATTATCCCTCTATTTTTATGCATGTTATATTTTTTACAATATATAAGGTGGTTATTATTAATTTAATATTTTAAATTTGTGATACCATGATCATGTCAAATCTTCTATTATTTAAAATTTATGAACAAAATAAGCTCACAAGCCTCATAACTTGTTCCATCTCCAGAGATGAATGTAAGAAATATTTTATTATTATATTTCCTTCCCACAAATAGACTTGTTTTATTCTTAAGAGTAAATATGAAAAATATTTTATTATTATATTTTATTTTCAAAAGTGATTGTGAAAAAATTGTGTTAATTATCATAATAGTAAATATTATTATAAAATATTTTTTTAGAAAACTTTACCAAAAGTTAGATAAAATAAAATAAAAAATGAAAAAAAGTAACAAACAAGCATTGTGGTGATACAAATCATTGCTATCTTATTTATTGTATAAAAAATATCTTTTTAAAATATTCATAATTAGGGAATCACTTAAAAATAAAAAAGAAAAATATTTTAATATTCATATAAATTTTACTTAAAAAAATAATAATTCTAATTATGATCATATGAATGAATTTTGTTTATGAGTATGAAAATTCTAATAATTATTAAATTGATGATATTCATTTTAATTTTTTTGATATATTGTATTTAAAAAAAATCAGATGGAATAATTGATAACTGACAAAAGTATTAAGAAATATTTAATTTTATTAAAAAAATAATATTTTATATATGTATGCTTAAAATAATATTTCATAATACTTTAATATTATTAAATTATTTATTTAAGATTATTTAATTTTAAAATATTTTAAATCTTTTGTAATCAAATTTTATTATAGTAATCAAATACATTAAAATATACTAATTTTTCAATTGTTTTTATTTTCTATTTTCACTACAAAAAAAAGCCTTTTACCTACGGATAAAAATCCGTAGGTAAATTGTACATTACCTACGGATATTACCTACTGAATTACTATCCGTAGGTAAATTATATTAAACTAAAAGAATTGTCACTAGCAAGAATCAAACCCAGTAGCTTAAAGTTGAAAACTGATACTCCAACCACTAAACTATTAGGATATTCTAATAATAATTTACAACTAAATTATACTTATATTTATTCGTGTAAATATATAAATATATAAATATATAAATACATAAATATATAAATACATAAATATATAAATACATAAATACATAAATACATAAATACATAAATACATAAATACATAAATACATAAATATATAAATACATAAATATATAAATATATAAATACATAAATATATAAATACATAAATACATAAATATATAAATATAAATATATAAATATAAATATATAAATATAAATATATAAATATAAATATATAAATACAAATATATAATTATAAATATATCAAAATATAAATATATTTTATATTTATATATATTTTAAATTTATATATATTTTATATTTATATATTTTATATTTATATATATTTTATATTTATATATTTTATATTTATATATATTTTATATTTATATATATTTTATATTTATATATATTTTATATTTATATATATTTTATATTTATATATATTTATATTTATATATTTTATATTTATATATTTTATATTTATATATTTTATATTTATATATTTTATATTTATATATTTTATATTTATATATTTTATATTTATATATTTTATATTTATATATTTTATATTTATATATTTTATATTTATATATATATATTCACACGGATAAATATAAATATAATTTATTTGTAAATTATTATCAAAATATCCTAATAGCTTAGTGGTTGGAGTATCAGCCTCCAACTTCAGGTGCTGGGTTAGAATCTTGCCAATGACAATTCCCTTAATCTAATAATAATTCAAAATTTTGAAAATATAATAAATAATAAAAATATAATATAAAGGGGAGGGGGTCCTAGGTAATAATAAAAAATAAGGGAGGGGGTTGTAATAAATAAAAATATTTTGTTTAGGTGAATGCATTACCTACGAATTTTTGTCATTACCTACGGATTTTACCCGTAGATAATAAACATTTTTTTTGTAGTGTTTACTTTATTTACCTATGATTTATTATTGGAATATATTTTTATACGTAAAATCATTTCTGACAATCATTTAACCACATATCTAATTATATACCATATATGTGTTATATTCAGTAAAACTTATTTTTTTATTGTTAAGAATACTTCGTTATAATATATATATATATATATATATATATATAAAATTTATATTTTAAATATACATTTTCTTCATAATATTTTTAATATTGTTTTACAATGATTAGTATAATAATTGTAAATAAGTGAATAATACAACTATTACATTATTCTCAAAAGTTTTTATAATATAAGAAGTGAATGAAACAAAATTTGAAATATATATTGTTACGGAATGGTGCAAAATTTGAATTTAAAAATTATATTTTATTCTCTTAATCTAATAAAATTTATCAAATTTTGAAAAATAAAATAAAATATATATATATATATATATATATATATATATATATATATATATTGTTACATAGTTAATGATAAGCTAAGTTTATTATTAGTGTTAAATATTTTGATTAACTTAAGTTAGGCACCAAAAAGTAATATACGAAATAAGTTTTTCCAATTTATATAAATTTAGTTTAATATTCTTTAAAATTTGTTTAATTGACTATATCTCATTTGTAAATATTTATCTTATATGTTAAATATTGTTTAGATATTGTTAACCACAATATGAAACAATATTTATTGTTTATTCTGTTACTTTCAGTTACTCTTTTAGTTGTATTTCTCTATTATAAATAAATTACCCTATGTGTGATTTATACACAAGGTAGATTAATCTCAAATTCTATTTCTTCTATATTCAACAAGGAATCTAGAGCTTAAGGTTATTTTGAAAATTTTTCGCCTTTTACCACTATTGGAGCCGCCACCATCACTGATATTACTGCCAGTTAAACTGATCTTCCACATCAGAAAAGAGTTATGTTTGTTATTGGATATTATTTGGTAGTGTAAAAGTGCATGTCTAGGAAGGTTCTGACAAGGAAAGACTTGGTATTTAAGCGTGTCCATTAATAACCCACATCTTTTTCCTGGGAACTTACCTGATGTACTAGTACTTCCAATTCTGTCAGTACTGCGTCTGATCCTTCCATCTACACTAACTATGTTAATGTACACTTATCCATTGACAAGTTAACTGGCCCTAATTATGCCACATGATCATCAGACGTCAGATTATGACTTAAGAGTCAGAAGTATCTTGATCATCTTGCCCCGAAAGCACATACTCTCACTCCTGGTGAGGAAGACCGTTGGGACACCATTGATGCTCAATTATGTGTGGTTCTCAAGGGTACTCTTGATCTTTCGTTAAAACAAAATTTTTTGTTCCTACGAAACATGTGCCAAA